CCCTCATTCAAAAAAACAATGGTGGTTTCCGTAAATGAGGGTACCCCATTGAAAAAAACCACTTTAGATTGGGATTCTCCATGAAACGACCATTCAGCTATTGATGCTACTTGTATTGGGGATCCTCCATTTATGGAAACCCAAAAGGTTGGCTGCCACCTTGGCTCTGGAAAATCTCACCATTTTACATCCGTTCCATTGGTGCAAAGAAACCTAATGATGATTACACACACACACACCAAAAAAAAGAAATGGGGTGCATGTGTCTCAAAAAGGAAGATGATACCCCCAAAACAACAGTTTGATAGATTTTGATATTGTAAGTATTGGAACCAAATTGGAATTGATGGACTGTCCAGCTATTGACTAGCTGACATTGCCGATCCTGAATATTTCAGCAGGCGTCCACTCTTTCACTTTGGGATTTAATAAAAAAGAATCCGTACCTAAGAAATATCATAAAATGAAAGAAAACAACAAGAATTCAGTATTATATAAGATTCTTAAGATGTAATTAAGTACAGTAGGGATCCAAACCATTGCACCCTGCTGTTCAAATTTGCCGTGGGATTCCTTGTGATCCCTTGGGCCCCCCGGCAGGCTGAGAACTCTTAATATCGAGAAACCGCTTATAAATGGTCGTACCGCGGTAGCGCAGAATCAACAGAATCGGAAAACAAACTTGCCTACTTGACCATTCTTCCGGGGTCGGCGGCAGGGGCGGCAGCCCTTAAAAATTCGGCTCCGCCGGCTCCCCACGAGTGGCTTGCCCTACGAGCGTCCCAGAGCGACTAGAGCTCTAAGGTGAGGCGCGCCCCAAGCCGCCGACCCTCCGACGCCGGGCCCCGAAAAACACCAAAAATCCTTCAGGAGGGTGGGGGAGAGCTTTTTGGCCGGAATCCGGGTCGCTCATAAGCGTCTCCAAGAGCAAAAGGCCCCCCCCCCCGTTTTGAGGGTACCTAAAATCGAAAAAAAGTGTCGTTTTGACACATTTTTCGGACGATTTTCAGCTTTTCGAAGTGGGCACAATGCTGTAAATTACCGCATTTTTGCGTTTTAACGTCTTTTGCGGGAGCAATGCAAAAACGCAGAAAATGCTGTAAATACCAATACTTTTTTGACCCGAGATGCACAAAACACTGCAAATACCAGTGTTTTTGAAAGCCAAGCCAAAAAACACTGTAAATTACAACATTTTTGGCAAGTTGATCGCAAAAAATGCTGGTATTTACACTGTTTTTGCAATTTCAAGAAAACGTGGAAGGCACGAAACACTGTAAATAGCAGTGTTTTAGCCACTTTTGGACGCTGAAACGCTGGTATTTACACAGTTTTTTGCCCGTGACGGCGCCAAACCCCTGTAAATTACAGCATTTTTTGCACTTTTTGAACCGATTTTTGGCCTTGATGAACGCAAAAAACGCTGGTATTTACGCGTTTCCCAAAAAATCGAAGATCGTGACGTGAACGAAACCCTGTAAATAACAGTGTTTTAGCCACTTTGGGGGACTAAAACTGTGGTATTTACGCGGGTTCTTGCCAGCTGACAGCGCAATATGCTGTAAATTACAGCACTTTGTGCGCTGTTTATGTTCAATTTTTTAACCTGCGATGCTTTCACCTGTTCTTTGCATTCTTCCACAAGAAACAATGTTGCAGATTGAAACTGGACGACAGCGTGACCCAAAAGAAAGCTGGATGGAGGAGTCGCACAGAAGCTTTTGCACATACAGGGGCTTTTACACAGAGAAGTCTTTACACAAAGGAGCTTTTTACACACAGAAGGTTTTACACAGAGAAGTCTTTACTCTAAGGAGCTTTTGCACACAAACGTCTAGGAGCCTTTACACACAGAAGCTGTTACACAAAGAAGTCTTTACACCGAGGGCTTTTTACACACAGACGCGTTTGCACACAGAAGCTTTTACACAGAGAAGCCTTCACACAAAGGAGCTTTTACACACAAAAGCATTTACACACAGCAAGCTTTTACACACACAGGGGCTTTTACACAGAGAAGTCCTTACAGAAAGGAGCTTTTTACACACAGAAGGTTTTACACAGAGAAGTCTTTACTCTAAGGAGCTTTTGCACACAAACGTCTAGGAGCCTTTACGCACAGAAGGTGTTACACAAAGAAGTCTTTACACAGAGGGCTTTTTACACACAGACGCGTTTGCACACAGAAGCTTTTACACAGAGAAGCCTTCACACAAAGGAGCTTTTACACACAAAAGCATTTACACACAGCAAGCTTTTACACACACAGGGGCTTTTACACAGAGAAGTCCTTACACAAAGGAGCTTTTTACACACAGAAGGTTTTACACAGAGAAGTCTTTACTCCAAGGAGCTTTCGCATACAAACGTCTAGGAGCTTTTTCACACAGAACTTTTTACACGAAGAAGGACTGACAGAGAGAGTTTTTACACACAGACGCGTTTGCACATAGAAGCTTTTACACAGAGAAGCCTTTACACAGAGGAGCTTTTACACACAAAAGCATTTGCACACAGCAAGCTTTTACACACACAGGGGCTTTTACACAGAGAAATCCTTACACAAAGGAGCTTTTTACACACAGAAGGCTTTACACAGAGAAGTCTTTACTCCAAGGAGCTTTCGCATACAAACGTCTAGGAGCTTTTTCACACAGAACTTTTTACACGAAGAAGGCCTGACAGAGAGAGTTTTTACACACAGACGCGTTTGCACACAGAAGCTTTTACACAGAGAAGCCTTTACGCAGAGGAGCTTTTACACACAAAAGCATTTACACACAGCAAGCTTTTACACACACAGGGGCTTTTACACAGAGAAATCCTTACACAAAGGAGCTTTTTACACACAGAAGGCTTTACACAGAGAAGTCTTTACTCCAAGGAGCTTTTGCATACAAGCGTCTAGGAGCTTTTTCACACAGAACTTTTTACACGAAGGCCTGACAGAGAGAGTTTTTACACACAGACGCGTTTGCACACAGAAGCTTTTACACAGAGAAGCCTTTACACAGAGGAGCTTTTACACACAAAAGCATTTACACACACAGGGGCTTTTACACAGAGAAGTCTTTTACACAAAGGAGCTTTTTACACACAGAAGGTTTTACACGGAGCAGTCTTTACTCTAAGGAGCTTTTGCACACAAACGTCTAGGAGCCTTTACACACAGAAGCTGTTACACAAAGAAGTCTTTACACAGATATATAGCTTTCACACACAGACGCGTTTACACACAGAAGCTTTTACACAGAGAAGCCTTTACACTTTACACAGAAAGTTTTTACACACGGAAGCTTTTACACACAGTGAAATCTTTACACAGACGTTTCACACAGAGAAGCTTTCACACACAGAAGCTTTTACACAAAGAAGCCTTTACACAAAGTGGTTTTTACACACAGAAACTTTTACACACAAAAGCTTTTACACAGAGAAGTCTTTGCACAGAGGCGCCTTTACACGAAGTAACAAGTTGAAATTGGCAGCAGTTCTTCGGGAAAAACCCTTGGCAGGAGCTTTCGGGAACTCACTTGCTCCCCAAAAAAGCCGTCTATTTTATTTCCAACAAAGTTCCTATTCGATGAACTTTTTTCAAACAACATAAGGACTATATTTCTGAAGCAGGTCCCCATCCAAAAGCTTTCAAGCCCACACTGCGATGAAATGGAGGGTCGAGAAATCCGGCGGAGCCGACGAGGGGCGTCAGCCCTTAAAATCCGGCCAGGGGCCCCCTGGCCGTGTCCTTGCCGTACGGCAGTTCTCTCCTCTCCATAGGAGAGAGGGGCCGCCGCCCCAGCCGCCGACACCCCCGGCCGCCAAAAAGTCCCGCGTTTTACGGTGTTTTGTGCTCGTCGCATTTTTTCGCCGTTTCCGGATCTTGTGGCTCAAGATGGGCCAACATGGGCCAACATAGGCCTCAAGCTGGGCCAACATAGCCCCAAGATGGGCCAACATAGCCCCCAAGATGGGCCAACATAGCCCCAAGATGGGCCAACCTAGCCCCAAGATGGGCCAACCTAGCCCCAAGATGGGCCAACATAGCCCCAAGATGGGCCGACATTGCCCTCACGCTAGGCCAACATAGCCCCAAGATGGGCCCACATAGCCCCAAGATAGGCCGCCGACCATCAAAATATCCTGCGTTTTACAGTGTTTTTTTGCTGTTCCCAATTTTTCGGATCTTCTGGCTCAACATGGGTCAACATGAGGCCAACATGGGCCAACATAGCCACAAGATGGGCCCACATTGCCCGCAAGATAGGCCAACATACGCCAACATAGGCCAACATAGCCACACAATGGGCCGACATAGTTGGGCCCCTGGCCGGCTGTCGCGCGTAAGCGCTTAAATCCGGCCAGGGGCCCCGTGGCCGTGGCATTGCCGTAGGCGTTTCTCTCCTCTCCGTAGGAGAGAGGGGCCGCCGCCCCTGCCGCCGACCTCTCCCCCCCGCCAAAAACCCCCGCGTTTTACGGTGTTTTGTGCTTCCCATTTTTTCGCCTTTTTTGGATATTGTGGCTCAAGGTGGGTCAACATGGGCCAACATAGGCCTCAAGATGGGCCAACATAGCCCCCAAGATGGGGCACCATAGCCCCAAGATGGGCCAACATAGCCCCAAGATGGGCCAACATAGCCCCAAGATGGGCCCACATTGCCCTCAAGATAGGCCAACATAGCCCCAAGATGGGCCAACATAGCCCGCCGACCATCAAAATATCCTGCATTTTACAGTGTTTTTTGCGGTTCCCATTTTTCGAATCTTTTGTCTCCACATGGGGCGACATGAGCCAACATAGGTCTCAAGATGGGCCAACATAGCCCCAAGCTGGGCCAACATAGCTCCAAGCTCAGCCAACCTAGGCCAACATAGCCAAGAGATGGGCCAACATAGTTGGGCCCCTGGCCGGCTGTCGCGCGTAAGCGCTTTAAATTTACATTGATGATCATTGATGCATACTCACATGTCGCAAGTCCAGCAAAGGCTTTGCCAAGTCTATCCTAGGCGTCCCGACGTGGCGACCGCGAAGTGGCCATGGATGCCATCTTCGCAGCACTGCGAATCGTACCTTTCGCTGCCTTTGGAGTCTCCGAGAAGAGACCTCCAGAAACTCATCGCTGCGAAGAAACTAAGAAACTTCACTATCCAGCTGTTGTGCTTGCCATCGAGCCTTCCAACAAGCCACCGTTAGAGGAAGCTTCCACAGGTGCCGGAGGCTCCTGGTACTTTGCGAGGACAAGAACATGCCAAAAAAGCGGGGCATTGTACCAGTGAGTTGGACCCACTATTGGATGCTATTAGGACTATTAGGACCATCAGGACTATTAGTGACTATAAGGACTATACATCTTCAAATGGCTTCCAACTTAAGATTTTCGTCGTCAGTTCTCCCGCCTCGGCGGCTTCTGGTCTAGGTCCAAGGGATAGCTCTCGGCGGATGTGGACCACCTGGTCACCCAGTTCACCCAGCCACGTGGTCAAAACATATGGGGTATGGTCAGCCCACCATGCTACAACTCTATTAATGGATGACTGGATGACTATTCGCCCGGTTTACCCTCCCAAGTTTTGGTGGCACAAGTTGGCACTTTTGTGTTGAATCTGATGATCATTCCACCAGGGCCCCTTGGCCTGGCGTCCAAGACCCTCTGCTTCCCGGCTCAACAACTCCAGCCGACCTCGATCCTGGAGGCAAGGCATGGCAAGGCTGGATACTGTGGTTGCCGGCAGTTGCAGATGTTGCAGGCACACTGTGGCACACATGCTTCCAAAATTTCCAAATGCTGAAAAACATTCAAATGCCTCCCTTTTTGGTGCAGCTTAGCTGATCACTCATTTACGAAGGAAGAGCAAGTTGGACAACAAGAAAGAGACAAATTGGATCAAATTGGACCTTTGACTGTTGAATGAGTCGTTTTGGACTTGCGTCTCCCGTTAGACGACCTCGAAGGCGTCAAGTGATACAAGACTGATGGAAGTATCCATAAATCTGGGACAAACTTCAGCTGCTTTGCAGCCCAGTTTTGGGAAATATGATGAAATATGTAGATTGAAGCTGACACCTGACGCGGCTCAGAGTGCCCCTGTTGAGAAGCTTACGCCCATGGGACGGTAGAACCTGGCCACCAGAGACCATGTACCGTGCAGACGCAGACCATGAAACGAAGCTATCCACTGCACTGCCATTCCAAGTATTCCAAGTCCAGGTTGCGGACTGTGACTGAATCAGTGGTCGATGAGCAAAGGGAGACGAAGTATAGGTCTTCCTGAGAATCTCAGAGCGAAGAACTGCAAACTTCAAGTCCGAAAAACATATCCAAAAAAATCCAAGTTTGCTGAGTATACCCCTTAAAATTGCCGTTTTTGGTGCTACTTCGGGAATCTGACCAGCCGAGCTTCGTGGCGGGTCCAGCTGTCCAACCAATCTCTTGTGCTGTTGTGAGGGCTCGGCCATACCTTTGGATCTTGGATGATCTTGGTGGATTCAGATGGAGGGTTTCAATTTTCCATTGGGGTCCCCAAGTCACCATGGGTTTCGATCCTAGAATGGTCTGACTTGGGATGATTTGGAGGCACCCCAATAAAACCTCCATGACTGAGGTTTCACCTCCATTGTCCTGGAATACTTTGCTGGGTATATTGTATTAACATCATCAGTCTATTAAGGATGTTGGCCCTCCGCACTTGCTGTAATCTGTCTTGCTGGAATTAACCCCTATGAACGGGGGGATGACTATGATGACGATCCCCTTTGATGGGAAAACAAGCCATGTTTTGACGCGCACCACGTAGAGTCAACTACACTCCAACGTCCAAAGCACAGGCATGGCACACATTTCTTGATTCCTCTGATGCTCGATAAACACAGTTGGTTGTTGATCAAAATTCCTTTATCCCGGAACGGACATTCTTCGCGAATAAAAATTTTACTTTCGCGAAACTTTCGCGAACTCCATGTTTATCTTTCGCGGGGCCCATGTTGGCCAACAACACCTCTTATGAAGATTCGTTCACCAACTGCCAAATTACGCCAGAGAATTTCGGATCACTTCTTGGTAGCCTTTTAAACATGCAGCTAGCATCACGGAATCCCTTCTCAGGACAGACTTTTTTTTGCAAAGTTTACTGGCCCACCCCCTTCAACATGCACTTTGACTTTCGCCCGCTCTTTCGCATAACTTTCGCGGAACTTTCGCGAAAATATCCCTATTCACAGACCCCGGCCATCAGCAGGGGGTGCACTGAAGGAAAAGCGAAGACCAGGGGCCTTGGTGTTTGGCTCTCGCAAAGCCTCACTTTTCGAAACTTGGCTACTGCTACTCGCATTCTCTGGTGCCAATGTCCTGCCGGACCCCGGGCGGCAGTGGGTGGCAGCCCTTTACATATAATGATTATAATACCCAACTTTCGCGAAACTTTCGCGAAATAAAATTTTACTTTCGCGAACTCGAAAGAAAACTTTCGCGAGGGTTTCCAACATAACATGCACGGCTTTCGCAATTAAAACTCCTTACAAGGACCTTTAGATCGATCACCAGTTGGGTTTTTTAACATGTTTGAATATGTTGAAGATGTTGAAGCGTCCAGAAATGAGATGGAACCAGGAGGTGATGAAATTGCATGAAATTACCCCATGGTTTCTGATGAAATGCACATCTCTCTTTTTGTTGACATTGAGAATGTTTGTTTTGGTTGAACAACTCCGTCCAGGAAATGATAACGGAGGCCCGCCTTTCAATGGGACCTCCTTTGGTCTTCTCCAACTTCAAATAGGCACCTTGTGTGGCGCCCCACCCGTCGTCCACTGCTCTACAAATCCAGATTCGTCTGCAGCCAAGGAGCCTCTACCTTGACCTGCGGACAATCAACTTCGCATCCCAGTCATCCCAAAATTTACCGTACTCAAGTTGAATCGGCTTATCCTCTGACTCCATTCTGGTTTCAGAGAGCGCACCCAAATGTACTCTGCTCTTTGCTGCTTCCTTGTCTGCAATGTCGTTGTATTGCATCAGCTGTTGGAACTAATGGGCCTTCTCCAGTCACTCCAAAGCGCAGAATCTTCTGCGGATCCGATTGCACGCCTCAGAAACTTCAAAGATCTGGCACTTCAGATGTCTTCCCAAGTGGCAGATAATTATCCAAATCAGGTCCTATCAGGTCCTGCAAATCACCAAAAGTCAGCAAGTGCCTCGCCATCTGCGGATCCGAGTTTTTCAATTGGTCCAGTTGCTGTCCCAGTGACGTGGCTTGCCATCATGCGGATGCGGATTGGGAAAGTGGCCCAAGGATTGCTCCAGCCTCGGCGGAAGTATATGTGATTCAAGCAAAACATGGCCATCGCAGCTTCGCATTCCAAGCCCATCCAAGCACTCTCTGGACAAGTTGCTGAGAGACTTGGCACCTCAGGCCCAGTGGGACCCAGTGGGACATGAGCCGATTCAACTGATCATCAACATGAGTGCTGTTGATACTGTTCATCCAAGGGACGACTTATGCTTTGGCTGGGTCAAAATGTTCTTGGCCTCAAGCACCCAAGCACTGCTGTGGCCGCTGCAAGTCATTTAGATTGATCTGAGAAGAAGACAGCAATGCCCAAAGCTTCTTCTTGAGCTCTCTTCTTCGCAAGCTGCTCTTCGCGGATTCTCTTAAAGTGCCTCAAACGGATCCAAACAACGAAAAGCATTCTGAAATTACCAAGACATGTTCAAATGTATTTATTTGTTGTATCTTTTCAGTTGATGTGTTCCATTCAGTCCAGGCTGCTTCATTTCTTTCTCAATGGTCTCACCATAGACCTGCGCCACCATATAGTCCTCAGCAGGGTCATCATAGAGGGCCTGAAACTGCACTCCCCAAGGAGGATGGTTTCCCAGTTTCCCTAGAAATGCGCCACCAAGTGCCCGTTTTCTTCGCTGGCTATCCCCCCACTTTGGAGATGTACCCCACAGCCTGACAGCTCTGCAAATCACCAATAAAACACCTGCAACACGCCATGGCACCATCGCCATGGTGACGAGCTGACTCTTTGCCGCGCGCTGCGGCCGACTTTCTACGCGTCGCTCGCTTCACTCTTGGGCAACTCGGCCATAGAATGTTCAGCACTGGATCATCTGGTGACTCCACTCATCTTTAAACGGCAGCAGAATCATAATTTGCTCCTTTGTAGTATCGCACCATCCAGGGTTCTAGAGGAAGTAAAATAAGTAAATCTCAACCACCCAAAAATGTGCCCAATTTTTTGTATATTAATCCAAATAAATCCAAACAATGGAACCACATGAGCAGGGAACCATGAACATCTTCATGAACATCATCATTGGATTGGTTTCAGGGAAATCTACAGGAAACCATGTGGTTGTTCCATTCCAATCATGAACCCTCTGATGCTCAGGTCGCTCCTCCTGTCGCTCTGAACGCATGGACTGCATTTCAGCGCTCAGCTCTGCTTGGGAGGCCGGCCAAGCCTAAGCACGACGAGTCTGGAAATAATGGGGTATACTGACTGGTATACTCCTAATATAGTCGAACTGAGGAAAAAATGATGAATGATGAATTTGAGAAAGTCAACCATTCCCCCATTTACCCAATTTTACCAATTCGGTGATAGCGAAGCCCAAAAAAGCGGGGTGCCTTATATAGTCGTGGGATGTCGTGAGATTATCACATAGCAGCTTAGCATGATGAAACAATATGAAAAAAAATGAAACACCTTCCAGCAAATTGTCATGGGTGTTTTGATCTCACTCCACCTAATTGCCACATGCAATTTGAGAATGGGAGCAAACTGGAACAAACGTCAACAAACCTCAACAAACACCATCAATATCATCAACCTGATCCAGGTTGGATGTTCCGAATTGGAATAAATTCACATCAAAAAGTCTCCACAGAAACCAATGAAACCACTAGGCCCCGAGCCTCAAGAGCTGAGAGTCTTCGAGATGCGACTGGCAAAAAAAAAAATCTGCACAAGAATGGCAAGTTAGAATGAACAAAATGCATCCAAAAAGTGCAAAAAAGGTCTGAGTCAAACATCCAAATTCTCATGACCTGCCCAGTTCTCCTTTGTCTCGCGCACGGCTGCCGTGACCTACATTGATAAATCAACTTCACCGTTGCCAAATTGTCGAAGCAATGGCCTCAAAAATCAGAAAAGAAACACCGATTGGGATGGCCTCGCGCGAGACGTCGGCGCGCAAGTTGGCAAAGCGCTCTTCCAAACCTCTCACCACCAGAAGGGTCACCTGGTGCCATGGAGCTTTTGATGGGGATAAAAAACATGAAAAAACACTGTCAATCTGGGAAAATGATGGGAAAATATTAGAATAGACAGAATAGATTGATGAATGATGAATGATGGGGAAGATTTGAAACCAACTCCTTGGTCCGTTGCCAGAAATTGGAGATTTGGCCCAAACCCCCATGATTGGTTTCCACTTAAAGGTGGAACATCTTGCTACATCAGGGGTTATCTGAAAATGTGGCATCCCCCAAAAACCCCCTGGGTTCCACAGTTCCACCATCGTTTCTCTCATCGAAACCACCCATTTATCATTTAAGACATATCAAAACAGCCAAATTTAATCGACCCAATTCCGTCCAAATAGATCCAACGCTGCTACGTTGTCCCATAATTGTCAGGGTTTTCCTTCATGTTCGCCAAGGCCACCCATAACTTGCGGGTAACTCGGGTAACTCGTAACTCCGGGCACCTGCTCCTGGAGGTCACTGACCTGAGCCTTCAATGCCAAGACCTCCCGGGAGGAGCCATCGGCCTGGGCCTGGCTGCTGGTCAGCGACTCGAAAAATTGGAATATGGTCAAATATGCCTGAATATGCCTTAAATATCTTAAATATGGTGAAATTGCCGGGGGGGAAACATGGTACAAAGTTGTTACAAACTGCGGGAAGTTGTGGCCCTTTATGGCATTTCTACTGTCACGAACAAATATAAACCATTTGACGGAATGAGGTTCCCAACTTGGAGATTGTCGCTTCCCTCTCAATCAGTTTGGTGCCCAGATTCCTAGCAGAATACAGCTTACAGACCCTTCGCAACCCAGAAATGGGAATGTAATCCCTAGAAAAAGGACCTTGATTAGAAGTTGCGGCCACTGAATATGGCCATGTCAACCTGCACGTTCAGCCAGCTGCAACTTTGTAGCCGTGCCTCTGCGCGAGGTGTGCTTGAGGCTTGAACAGCTTCAACCACTTCGCTCAGCCTCAAACAGAACTGTGGCGGTCATTCTGTCAAATCAAAATCAGCACATCGGTGTCTGAGCAACACACTTCTTGACCTCTGCACGGACTGCTGCAAGCCCTTCTTGCATGGCTTTCATGGCCTTCATATGCCTCACGCTGTGCCATCTGTAAACAAAAAATTGATAAACTGTGAACAAACAAAGGGCCCCTGCACAACTATGACGCCAGGTTGGGCTCGTACCGAGACCGACAAATGTTGCAAAACATGTCAGGAATGCTGTTGGAAAAGTGAAGGCACGTGGGTTGAGCGCACTTCTTGGATCTCCTTTCGAATGGCCTGTGGCAGAGTGGTCTTGTGTCAGCACCACACATCTCACAGCGTTGCAGCCCGGTCCTCTGCTTCTTGGCGCCAGCTTTTCTGGACATGATCGGGTTGCATCTTTCAATTTTGTCTCTCAAACTGGGGGGAACACCACAACATTATACAAAAAATTGCCGTGTTCATTGGGAAAATTATAATAAACTGATAAACCAATACTGTACCAGCCAGGCAACTGTACCTGAGTACCCATTGTTTTAGACAACCCCCGATTTTTCATCTCCGCCTCTGCATGATCTCTCTGGTCTAGATCAAGAAACCTGCAGGACAGATGGAGACAACAGTTGGTACGATCCAACCTGCCAAAAACATGACGAGTTCTCCAACTTCACCCCAATAATTGGGCGTCCCAAAAAAAACACCAATAACAAATCGTTGAGATTCATTGAGATGATTTCAAGTTGGATGATCCCCATATATCATTTATATTCATTTATGATATTCTCATGTTGACCAGGAGGATTCCTCCCATCGCCCCATGGAACTCCGCGGGTCCCATTTGGGCCTGGCTTCAACCTCTCGAAAGTTGGCCTGGCTCTCCTGCAGATCCTGGCGCCGCTGCTGCAGCAATAGATCCACCTATGCCGCTGCTGCTGCGCGCCAAATGGCGAAAGTTCCACCGTGAATTGATTCAGAAAATTTTCCAGAAAAAAATATGAAAAAATATGGAGAAAATGTTGACTGGAGCATGGAGTAGACCATGATTCACCATGAATTTTTGAGGTAAGTGATTGTTTGATTTGTGGAAATATGATAATGAAGCAGTTGATTTGGGGTATATCTTACCCTATCTTCAGACAAACCCATATGTGGAAACCATCTCTGGGTTTCTTTTTTGATGAAATAGAAACACGTCTGGGTTCGACAGCGTTGAGGCTCTCACCATCTTCTCCAGCTGTTCAGTGCGTTCCCGATCCGCCTGAGAGGATACATCTGTCGCCTGCATTGTTGCAAGCTCCACCTGGCTGAGCTGAAAAAACAAGCTGTCTCTGCGAGGTTGACATTCGCATCATTCTGCACATTCCCAATTTTTATGCTACAACACTGTACCATTCCCATGTCTCCATATGGCAGTGTGTCAAAACCAATAGTACCCCTTTTTTGTTCACATCAAAATAGCTGGGATTTATGGATGTTCGTCCCACTAAAAATGCTATTTTCATAGCTATTGATCCATGTCTCCATATCTTGCTGGTCACCAAGTTCAGCTTGGACCTCCAGCTTCGAGCATCGGTCCCCCAAGAGCTTCACAGAATGACCGACCTCCAAGGGAACACACGACGTGAGCTTCAAAAAAAAAACGTTGGTTCCAAATATTTCCAAATGATTCCTTCATGTCCAGTGATTCTGCAACATACAGCATACTATCTCACGAGGTCACAGCTCTATCTTGATTTAAGTATGTCAAATGTTACATTTCTTGATTTAAGTATACCTTTCACGACAACTGCTGGACATCATTTCCAAGTGCTCACATGAGCACACCTCATCAATCATCTTTTTCATCAAGGAGTCCACATCTTCAGGTTTGAGCGCGTTCAACTCAGCCACCTTCCAGAAACACACAAAAATCTCTGCCCCCCTAGTGCGAGCAAATCGTCCATCAAGAAGCACCATCCCTTGTCAAGTTCTTGACATGCGGATGATCCGGATGGGTCAACAGCTACATTCAGCTACAGTATGGTAAGTACATGTAAGTACAAAACATCTTTTAGGAGGATGGAACATCCATTTCCATCCATAAGAACCAGCTATTTTGATGATTTTTGATGTGAACATTCCCATGGGTTTTGATTTTGACCCCATTTCGGGATCAGCCGGGATCAGCCGACCTGGCTTTGGGTCTTTTCAAGCCGTTGCTTCAGGTCTTCAATGAGCCTTGCCTGCCGGGGTTTTGCCATTCTATGGATATGAATGGGATATTCAGTAATTGGATATCAATGATATCAATGATATCAATGATATCAATGATATCAATGTTCCAATCTTCTGTAGATGTTTAATGTTGTTTAATGTTGTCTAATGATGTTTATCATATTTTTCTAGATTCGAAACGCTAAGCTGCTTAGCCGCTTAGCAATCCCCATTGGATCTCTGGGGATCGATGGCTACCGCTACGGCCTCGACGTGTCCAGACTCTTTGGATGGGTTGCCTTGGACGCCAAAAAAGTGGAAAAGAAATGAAAAGAATCAAATTTGTCAAAAGAATGGGACATCCAAATTGTAAACTCATAAAGTGAAAATATGATTGTAATTCAGCTCACGGCGTTCCTTTGACAACAACTCCCTCCAAATCTTCTTCACCTCAGATTTGTTCAATCTTTGCGAAGCTGATCAGTTCAAAGTTTAAACATAAACTGCTCAGGCGCCTCCTCCTCAACTCGCGCAATGGACTCCTTGCCAGCTCTGTTTTGGATTCCGTGCAGCGTAACATGAGAGACCCCTGGCCATCATGGTCCGCTCCTCGGCCCTCTGTCCCACTGTGGTACTTCGAAGGGCCCAGGCTTCTTCCAACACATCGATGCGGGCCTGGGAAACAAAATATCAGGAAAGCACCAGGAACTCACGATAGTCAGCACCACTGTTGAAGAGACAGTCATTGAAAAAAAGCTGCACACCTGTAGGGTTAGCATATTATCCAGCAAGTCGAAGGGATTTCCTGGTTTCATTGGAGAGTTCCGGAGAGGTTCATTGAACTGCCATGGCACCCTGCGCCTTCAACCGCAGGGTCTCTTCCGAGTCGGTCTCCAGGCGTCGGCCTCCTTGTTTGAGGAGCCAATCTTTGATGTGGATCGGATCTGCTACAATAGCTGCTAGGTAGCTGCTAAGTAGGTACCTCAGCAGGATTTCTAAAGTCTGCTTGGATTTCTTGAGACGAAGTTAAACGAAGGTTGAAAAAATGGCGAAAGTAGCCAGTACCGTCAGTACCAACCAGGTCGTCAAGACATGTCCAGCATCTGCTGGCCTGCGGAGCCTGAAGCCGTTCCAAGGCTGACGCCATCCAGCGACAGCACAAGGACTGAACATGCCTCAAGCCGTGAGCCGGGCTTGGATCATCTTGGATCTCGAGGTCCCAAGGGAAACTTTGGTGATATTAGTGGATTGCCTGGATTGCTGATTGTTCTAATCAAGAAATCATCATTAAAAATGGCTGGTTTATGTGAGTTTTGTCTATTTATTAATGGTTAGCAACCCGCCAATAATAACCATTGAATCACCATTGATTATTAATGGTCAGTCAGTAGTCATCATTGACCAATGGTTGTTATTGGGGGGTTCTATCCATTACCAAATCTGCTCCATGGCTTTGTCAGGTGCCGCAACGGCCTCGACTTCCTCCAAAGCTCGCTGAAGCTCTATCTGGCACCAGGGAATGTGGAGAAAGTCATGGAAAATGTGTTTCAAATCATGTTTCGGGTCATGTTTCACATATTTTCACATCATGTTTAATCAATCATTTCACCATCACAGTTGGTTGTTTGATGATGTTTGATGATTGGTGGGTGTTGGGTGCTGGATCTGCAGGCACCTCGATCTGCCCCACTCGCTCTTCAAGTGGTGCTTCCTCAGTGCTTCGAAGCTGCGCTTAGCTCGCCTTCTTTCGCTGGAGAGGAACGCAGAACTGAGGGGCAGACCTGCTCTCCAAGTCCATGGCATTTCAAAGGTGCTCTGAGGACTATACAGGGACCCTGTACCTGCTGTTGAAATCTGTTGAACCTCCATGTGGAAGACTCGGCCTACCTTTGTTAGTTGTTTGTTGCGGAAAAGGAGAGTGATTCCCAAGATCAAGGCACTGGCAATCGCCCCAATCTGCTTATGCTCTGGTCGTCCACTTCGAGGTTTACTTTGAACTTTGGTGGCTGCAGCATATGGATCATTTGGCGATTGCATTCTGCACAAAGACTGCAGCTGCATAACAAATCTCTCGTGCTTCTGCAGAGCATGGGTTCCATTTATGCAAAAGATCGAATTGTTGCGGGTGTTATTAGTATTATTGGTAGTAGTTTCCAAGGTGCAGTCTCGTGTCAGAAATCCACAGCCAGTTGCCGCAAATGTCTTTTTTCCAGGCTTCCAGTAGAGAGCCTCTTGCCGCAGAGCCTGTAAACCATCCAAACTACCGTCCGGAAAGCGTTTTGCACAGAGCTGTGCTCCTGCGCAGGCAACAATGCCGCGGGAACATGGGCACTTGCACGAAGCGAGCTCTGCTAATTGCCACTGTGGTCACAACCAAACGCAACCACTGGTCATTTTGGACTCGCTGCCAATGGGTTTAAGCACCTTTTCAAGGCAGGCAGTTACGATAATAATCTGCAGCTGCATCGGATACTACTGAAGCACCCAAAAACCTTCTTGGAAGGCGAAAAATGCGAAAGAACCCTGCACAGAATGGGAGACCTCATGCAACCCTGGCAACCCATAAAGAAACTGCAGGCACGCAGCTGACTATGAAGCATCCAGGCAACCCGCCAAACAAATCTGACAAGCTGATCTGTGAATTCTTTGGCAAAAAACTCCCATCTCCGTGGCGGAGGGAAATAAAGCAAAATCAGCTGTGCTCGAAACATCCAACAGTGCCTATCTACACTTCTACACATCGAAATCATTGAATACTGGTCACCCAAGAGTCACCCAAGAGTCCATCATGACACAACTTTGGTTGTAGAACTCGAAGCAAGTCGGCCAGCAGGCTCTGAGAAGCGGCCCAGCACATAATAGAATCAGCAGAACAAGCCTTTGAAGTAATCGACAGACCAAGTAATGAGATTCTCCTCTAACCAAGTCAATGCTCCATTCGATCTTTGCCCCTTCGCGTGCCTCGCAAATGAGATTGACCATTTTTTCCTCTTCCCTCCTCCAAGCGCCGCGGTTCTGCTTCCGGTTCTGAGCAAAAAGATTGACGAAGCTCCCGGAGCCCCCGAGCTTGGCAGGAACAATGTGGCCTCGATCCAGCTGCACCATCTCCTTCTCCAGGCCTGCGTAGTTGTCGTACCACGGGGTTGTGCAGCGGTGACAATCATCAATGATCAGGGAAGCACGATACCAGCGAGGGAAGCGTGTCTTCTTGATTGCATCTGTATCCCCTCTGGGTGGATCCCCAAACCTTGGCATGCCTTTGCCCTTGGTCATGGTGTAGGCCAGCGTCATCCGGTTGGCTTTAATCTTGCAGATGTTGGGACATTCTTGCGCGAGGCTCGGATTTCCAGCGGCTTCCTTGCGGAAGATGCTGTCCAAAGACTTTTGCAAAGCTGCAAGTCGTTCTTCCAACTGCTTGGCATGGTCAGCATCCACGAAGCCCTTCGCCACCGCACTGGTTGTGGTGGTTGTGGCGGCAATGCCGCCTGTCACAGCGGCAGGGATCAGGGTTGCTCCCCAAGTTACGGGTGCTAACAGCAGAAGAATCCCTGATGTGATGCCAGCAACTCCGCCTGTAATCCTGGCACCGCCCTGGGAGCCATTGTGAACCCTGATCCAGCTGCGGATGCTTTCAACCTCTGCTTGAATCGCTTTTGCCTCGCCAGACATTCTTTGGTCATCACAACCCTTCTTGAGCACAGCTAGGAGTTTATCACAGCCCTCCTTGATCTTGGTCATCATGTTCTGGTGGCCGTGCCCAGCCACAAGGCCCTCGATACCCCACACAACATCCCATAGTCCGGCACAAATAATGACAACCCCACCCATAACCTTCAGCTCAGCAGCGCCACCGCTTCCACTAGCCTGCCCCACTGTTTTCATGGCTTGTGATTGAACAGCAGTCAAGGCTTGGCCTGCAGTAGTAAAGCTCTGGACTGTCAATTCCGTAGCTTGCATTGCCAGGGCTGCAAGCGTTGCTCCAGCCGATGCTGCAGTCGATGCCACAGATGCTGCGTCCCATGCGGCCTTTGTCGCCTTCGTTGCTGAGAATGCACAGTCGGGACTTCGCAAAGCCTCAGCCGTCAACTTTGCTACTTCACTGGCCATGAAACCAAATGATGTTCAAAAAGAAGCCGAAGTATTGGATGTTTGCTGCAGTTTCGAGCCAAAAATAACTAGCATCGACCCGAACCTGCAGTCGGGTTTGTCTTGAGAGATTTGTTCGATGTGATCAAACATTCCAAAAGCTGGGCCTTCATATGCCTCACGCTGTGCCATCTGCAAAAACAAGTATATAAACTGTGAACAAGCAAAGGGCCCATGCACAACAACAGTATCACCTATGACCTATGACATCAGTTTGGCTGGTACCCAGGCCTACAGATGTTGCAAAACATGTCAGGACTTCTGTTGGAAAAATGATGATTAGCAACCAGACCATGTTTCAGATCCTGTTTCAGGTCATGTTTCACATCATGTTTAATCAATCATTTCACCATCACAGTTGGTTGTTTGATGATGTTTGATGATTGGTGGGTGTTGGGTGCTGGATCTGCAGCCACCTCGATCTGCCCCACTCGCTCTTCAAGTGGTGCTTCCTCAGTGCTTCGAAGCTGCGCTTAGCTCGCCTTCTTTCGCTGGAGAGGAACGAGGAACTGAGGGGCAGACCTGCTCCAAGTCCATGGCATTTCAAAGGTGCTCTGAGGACTATACAGAGACCCTGTACCTGCTGTTGAAATCTGTTGAACCTCCATGTGCAAGACTCGGCCTACCTTTGTTAGTTGTTTGTTGCGGAAAAGGAGAGTGATTCCCAAGATCAAGGCACTGGCAATCGCCCCAATCTGCTTATGCTCTGGTCGTCCACTTCGAGGTTTACTTTGAACTTCGGTGGCTGCAGCATATGGATCATCTGGCGATTGCATTCTGCACAAAGACTGCAGCTGCATAACAAATCTCTCGTGCTTCTGCAGAGCATGGGTTCCATTTATGCAAAAGATCGAATTGTTGCGGGTGTTATTAGTATTATTGGTAGTAGTTTCCAAGGTGCAGTCTCGTGTCAGAAATCCACAGCCAGTTGCCGCAAATGTTTTTTTTCCAGGCTTCCAGTAGAGAACAGCTCGTCGCAAACCGACCTGAAGGTGCTAAGATCTTCCCACAACGAAAAAATTGGAACTTCCAAGGTCCCAGCTTCAGCTGTAATCGTAAAAGCCACGCTTGGTCTTCTTGCCAAGCCAGCCAGCTTCGACGTAGTTCACCAAGAGTGGCGCAGGACCTACGGCTTGACGTGGTGGGTGCTGTGCACCTTCAGCTGGGTCTGCAGGGTCTGCAGCTGAGCTCAAAACGATACTTCGAATCGCCCAGATCTCTGTGCAGAACCTCGTTGATCTGGTGATCTCAGAGTCGTTTTCCATGTTGCACATGTTTTCCAGATCAGTTCCACATCATTTCCACATCAGTTCCATGTCCAAAAATCTAAGAGACACCTGGAACCCGCCTGTCCCCATTGCAGCCATTTCAGAGGAAGAAAAAATTCAGCAAGGCAACCCTCATGATACTCAGGCAGGTGTCCAGGCCAATGAAGTCCTGAGAGCGAAGAAGGATAGAAAACATATGATCACGGGTCAAAACCCCCTTCACTATTCTTTGGTAATAGTAATATAAAAGTAATATAATGTAATAATGTAATAAAAATGATTAATGATGTATATCATATCCAATGGGTTTTAATCAATCCCCAATAATCCCAATATGTGTTTGGTGAACAATTGAAACATCAAACAAGCTTGAAGCAACGAAAACGGCTTTGAATGAAGGACTCGCAAGTCTGAATCCTTCCATTGGTCAATGGCCAGCTTGAGTCTGACTTGCCGATGAACGAAGCTATGAACAGAATCCAAGAGACAGCCAGGGTCAAAGGACCCATGGGAACGTTAGTTCCCAACTTCAAAGTCTTGTCAATGTCCTCACTAGGCTACAGATTGCAGCAAACTCCGATCCTTTTTCATGTGAGTTTTGCAAGCCTCTGTAGCGTTATGGAACCACTCATGGCCCAGAATTCTTCAGATATTTCTTCCCAGGATGCAAAGCCTGTCCTCTGCAGTTCCAACTCCATCTTGCAATGCAAACACAGCCTGGCACGCCAAAAAGCTAAACCATTGAACCAAACCATTGAACCATTGCTGCAATGATCCGGCTAACCAACCACCAACCTATACAACCCGTGTCAAAACAGCGGGCCTCATTGATGTAAGGCATCAGGATGCGGTTTGCAATGAAACCAGGTCGATCTTCACTGGTGGAATGCTCCTGCATAAATACGAGTTGGAGACAGCATGGATTGATAGAGCTGGCAGCTGGCCCATAAACAATTCAAAACAGCAATGTCTGTGTGCTTTTCGTGTGGCACACGGCATCCATGCCACATCTGCGCTGTTTGCATGAATGACCCAATTTGAGGATAGTGAGGATGTCCCAGTACAAACCCAAAATTCAACAAATTATTTACTGTAAAATTAGAAGGCTTTTGGCCCACAAGCAAACTTGTGTTTTTATCATAGAACAGCCCGACCCAGTCTGGTTTAGATTTGAGCAGTCTTTATTTGAGGTTTGTAGAACTGTAGAAGATTTGCAGCACTCTAGCAGGATGCCCCGAAAAAAAATGGCATCGTATAGGCTATCTTGATCTTGCTTTCAAGATCCCTGAGATGGAGGAAACCGAGTGTGACAAATGACTTCCCAAGATCTTTACCATGGCCTCTGGGTGAAATTCTAGGTCTAGGTCCCCCAGAGGAACATATTGCCCGAGGAATTGCAGCGATCAAATTGGCTTGGAAGAAAACTGCTAAGAGTATCAGCCTTTCCCTTCGGTCCTTCTTCATTGCCCTGCATAGCTGTAGTGTAAGCTCCAAAGTCGCATCATCAGTGCGCAGACCTCTAATGACTTCCACGAGAGGCATCACCGGGACTGGATTCCTCACAGAAAGTTCTGGGAATGTCAGGATCAAACTTGTGAAAATGTTGAACTCAACCACATCATCCACATCCCCATGCCAGAGGAAAAGCCGGGAAGTAAAGACGCTAGGGGTCCGACATGAAGTGCATGCCTAGGGTGGACTTGATTCAAGCAGGCGCTTCGAGGAATCAAAGCAAATTGAAAAGGACAATCTCGTGGTGCACACAACTTCTCTCAAATTCTGCCCAAGTAACCAATCATTCGCTCCGGCCTCCAGCTAAAACGTGTTTCATTGGTAGTGACATATCAAATCCTCCTGACTTTTTGCCACAGCCGCAATATCTGCGTGCCTGGACACTTTGGCCGCCAACTTGGTGATGGAAATGGAGGAGGTGTTTGTAGCCAAGACAGAGCCTTCTGGAAGGCCAGCAGCCTGGAGGGCGTCATAGCAGGACTGCTTCACCTTCAGGTCCTCGCTCACGGCCTCTCCAAAGTTGTCAAAGTTATCAACTGTTTCGGTATTGATTTGCCTATGGGGTCAAAACATGTCAAAACCTTGGCACATTGGTGAACACGAGAATAGCTGGTGAATGGAATCATGGATGTTTGTCCCCAAAAAAAGAAGGTACCATAGGTATTGGCTCCCCATTTGCAGAACTGGCCAAGCTCTCATACCTTTCCAAGTATTCCAAATGGCCATCAATGGCGATGCCATCTTCGCCTCAATCACAAAGTCCATCTGGGGCGCAATCGTTTTCAAATAGCCCTCATCCTTCAGGTCGCCGAAGGTAATCTTTCGCAGGAAGTCGTCTACCTGGCCCAGAGGTTGCCCGAAACCATTTTCAAGCTGAAATGAACGAAAACCCAGAGGGGTCCAACAAAAATGTGATTGTCCAGACTGTCCAGAAACACATATAAATGTCAACCATGTTCACCAATGAACAGGGTCTTTGGCAATTTTACTTAGTGATGCTCTCACGTGCAAAGTTTCCGGGCATAAACCGTTCAGCGTTGCCCAATGAGGAGCAAGAAATTGCTGAACAGTGTGGAGGCACTGTCCCCAAACCCCGCAGAAAGACTTTGCAGACTGTCAATTCTGGTTATCTAGCCATGATATGCCATGATGACCTCTCCCGGAATTTGATTGGTATCTAAACGTGTGCAAACATGCATACTGTGCCAATACTGTGCGACAGCTCTCAGCATCAACCAAATGGATCCCACCGCCGGGCCTCTGCTTCCGTCATTCGTCCTTTTTTGGCCTGGAAGATGATCCAAATCATTTCTTTGCTGGTGAAAACTGGTGAAAACATCTGAACACAAACAGTTCCAGGATGGCAAAAAAATGTCGGGCCTCAATGATTCAAGGTTGGAATGGTTGCCGAAAAACGGCAAGTCAGTGGGGGTCTCGCAGGGACGTCCAAACCCATGGCCTCTTTGCCTGCCCATTCTGCGGCAAATGCTTTGCTGCGCTCGAGACTTGCGGGATATGCATCTAGTCCAACAACTTCAGCTCCAGCATGTTTTGCCTTGGCACTTTGAAGATCCCCCGAAGAAAATAAACACTTAAAAAATCTTAAAAATCATCCGAGTCCTGGCCATTGCAATTGAGGGACAGCCACTATGGTGATTCCAGTGCCCATCCTCAGTTACCAAGCCCTGGAGCAAAGATTCAACAAAGACAGCACCAAAACTGGTCGCAAAATGTACAGATTGCAAAATTGAGGCCCAGTCTGACCGCAGCCAACAACTGCAATTTTTTTCGGCAAGGGCGCCGTTGAAAATCGAGCCGTGCCACTCAAGCACAAGGCGGGCAGCTGGCCGCATCGAAACGCTCTCATGGCGTCAAGACTTGGTTTCAACATCGTTTCAACAGTTTCTGTATACATTCTATATCAAAAAATCGAGACTCGCTGATTCTACCATGAACCTTCGGATAGTTGGTACCAGCATTTCTTCATGAACCCCCGTCAAGATGAAAATGAACGGCACACAAAAGTTGGGCTGGACTGCCTGAACCTGTTTGGGTTGTGCAATTCACATCGTATAAGGATTGTCATTTGCAATTGGCCAAATGCAAGCCAAAGGCTAGCATAATAATGAAAAAAAAACGTGCACAAAAGTTGCACCTTTGCCACAGGTTCTGTAACAGCATGTCGGCCGCATGCTGTTGCTTGCAAATCTTCAAATCAGAAAACACCAGGGAATAATACTTTTGACCCTTGTTTCGGACTACTACCACTTCTATTCTATAGGGTAGAACTGCACATAGCCATGTTTCGGACTACTACCACGTCTATTCTAGAACTGCACATAGCCAGTAGCGAAGGCTAGGGATTCAGACGACGCGTTAGGGAGTTTGTCTGGTGAGCTTTGAATACAGTTTTAGTTCGAAATTAGTTGGTGCTTTCGCGTTTCGAGTGGTGTCCGTCAGCATTGCTTTTGTACGTGTGGCTAAGCAAGCCTCTCAAACGGTTTCAATCGCGTTTCTCAAGAGGTGCACCCCACGATGCAGCGTGGAAAAATGTATTTCTAAAGATTCAGACGACACGTTAGGGAGTTTTTCTGGTGAGTTTTGCATACAGTTTCGGCTCGAAATTAGGAAACATAAGGAAAAAGTAGCTAAAATCATCCTTTTCTGTGGGTGTCAGAAGTTACATTAAGGAGTTTGTAGTTTAAAATCATCTTTTTTGGTGGGTTTCAGAAGTTACATTAGGGAGTGTTCGGGCGCAATTTTGATGTTTTTTCGCCCTTCGCTGCCATGGTGTTTTCCCATCCGGGAGGTGCCTTTTGAACAGAAAGAGGAGCAGGAGCAGCAGCAGCAGCAGCACCAGCAGCAGCAGCACGAGCCTTTTGAACAGAAGGAGTCGCAGGAGCAGGAGCAGCTGCAGCAGCAGCAGCAGAGGAAAAAGTAGCTAAAAGCATCGTTTCAGAAATTACATTAGGGAGTTTTTGGGCGCAATTCTGATGCTTTTCCGTCTTCGCTGCCATGGTGTTTTCCCATCCGGGAGGTGCCTTTTTGAACAGAATTAACTCATTTCTGCACCTTCCCTTTCAGTTGCATACATGTTTGCATAGCAGTTGTTTCATGTCAAACGACATACAACCTTTGCTGCTTGGATGTGAATCAACACGATGTCACATGGATATAATCCTCAGGCGTCTTTGCATCAAGGAAAATGTTCATGGTAGCGGAGCCCTGTGATCCAGATCCTTTATTCTGGTGAGGGCACCTGAAGCTACCTTGGACTAGGGAACTCCCGTTGCCGTTTAGTTGAGCCATTTGGGTTCTGGTTGCATAGCCTTGCTTGGAGCATGGCTGGTGAAGGTGGCACGTTGGACGTGGCCCAGCTGATACAAGCAGCTACAGACGCTGCTCGTGCTGCTGCTGATGCGGCTGCAGCCCTTAGAGATGTTCAGGCTAGTCGTGGAACTGGTTTGAGTGGAAAGGGGTTTAGTGAAGCCTCAAAAGTCATTAGACAACCTGACCCGTTTGGTTCTGAAAACCACGAAGAAGATCTTAGCAAGTGGCAAGACTTCACAGTGAACTTCAAAGCTTGGTTGTTCTATGGTGATAGTGGTTTTGAAAGTGACCTTCATAGAGTCGAGACCAACTATGCCTCAACTCCAATAGAGTTTCCTAGATCCGAGCCCAATGACGTTCAAGAAAGATGCAAGCAGCTTTTCAACATCCTTACGGGGATACTTCGTGGCAAGCCGTTGCGGCTACTGCGCCAAACTTCTGAGAGAAATGGTTTCGAGGTTTGGAGAAAGTTGGCGCAACTCTTTTCACCAAAGACCAAAAGCAGGTCGATTTCTTTGCTTGCTGCGTTGATGAATATTCCAACCTTCAGCCTGAAGGACAAAACCCTGATGGACCAGATCTTAGGCCTTGAACGCTTGAGAACTGAGTATATGAGATCTTCTGGAACTGATGTGGCTGATGACCTGATGTTGAGCATCCTGGTCAAGTCGTTGCCAAAGGCATTGCAGACCCACATTCAGCTGCAGATGACAGAGCACTCAACGTATGCCCAGGTCAGGGAACTTGTCCTCAGCTACGAGTCAGTGACGACTACATGGAGCGCTGGTCGAATTCATAGTGAACTTGGCATTTTGCCATCCAGCTCTACGGCTTCCTCTCCTGCCTACAATGGCCCTGCCCCCATGGAAATTGACCGGTTTGAGAAAGGCAAGAAGGGCAAAGGCAAGGGAAAGCACAAAAGTAAAGACTCTTCGTTTTCCAAAGGAAAGACCAAGGGTAAGTTTGACAAAGGTAAGGGAAAGAGCAAACAAGATGTTTCAAAGCCACGTGCGGCTACCTCAAGTGATCAGTGTTTACATTGTGGTAAATATGGGCATTTCAAAAGAGACTGTTGGAAGTTGCATGGGAAGCCCACCAATACAAAGAATGTGAATCAAGTTGAAGAGACGCAAAACGCTGGAAGCTCTAGCAGTGGTGCTTCTTCAAGCACTGCCTCAACAACCATGACCTCAGCTACTGGCTCTGTGCGTTTGCTTTCTTCATATGTTGGCCCTATCATTGAAGAACTTCCCAGCAGTGATGAGCTTGACTTCCGTGACCTTACAATGTATGACAGCTCTGGCCATTGCAACGTTGTTTCATGTGCTGAAATTTCACCCGTAGATGACTTGAACCATGTCGAGGAAGCATACATGTGCGCTTGTACTCACTTTGACATGTCATGCACTGATGATGATGGTATTTGGACGTTTTGTGACAGTTATTGCATTGACCTTTCACCTGCCAGCCATTCTTCTTTCGACTGCATTCGAGCTGTCGGCAACCTGACTGACAGCAGCGTGGAGGTGGTGATTGACTCGGGAGCTGATGGTTCAGTTCTGCCCTTAGAATATGCTGCAATAGGTCACAAAGATCCAACCTTTGACAAGTCTTCTTCTTTCATTGATGCTCAGGGCAAGCCAATATCAGTGAGGGAAGCTCGAATAGCTGAAGTGCAATTTGGTTCAGTCGTTTTCAAAGAGCGGTTTATCATAGCGCCAGTTACTTCACCACTTATTTCAATGGGTCGTCTTCTCAGAGATGGATGGTGTCTTCAAAATTCTGGTGATTCAATGTTTCTGGTGAGAAATGGCAAGAGCATTCCCGTCCACTTCAAGCGTAATTCTTTGTGTGCACATGGTGTAATCAGAATGTTGAGCAACATGGATAGCAGTTCAGTTGAACATGTCAGGGCAGTTGTTTTGGGCGAAAGCCTTGCTGGTTTACAACGTGGATGGATAAGGCTGAGTGATTCTGTTTATGGTTTGAGAAGCGTGTCACCTCAACATGTTGACACGACGTATTGCCCCAGTGAGTCATTGATGTGGCTTAGAACAAAGTTGGTGCGTTTTGCAGATGGCACCTGGGAACTGGAGGAATTTTCTCAGAGCATTTCAGACCTTTCTTCACGTGTTATTCCTTTTCAAACTGCAAAACCGGTTGTGGAGGTGATCACACTTGCGCATGATGCCATGGTACCACCAGAGGCTTTGGGTTTCAGTGTTCATGATGATGTGGTGATGCCAGCAAACTTTCCATTGAGATCATCCTCACAATCCCATTCTTCTTCCTCTGCATCAGCGCCTGCTGCTGCTGCCCCTGTCAGGCCCAACGTGGAGCCACCAGATGAGTTGCCAGCGGCTGCAGAAGAAGCTGAGTTACCAGTTGCAGAGAGACCAGATGTGGACTAC